GGGGGTGTTCTCCCCGATGGCTTGTTGGCCAACGAGTTCGCGGTGGATATCCGCCACGGAGTCGTCGCGGAGAGAGCTCATGTTGAGGTTTTAAGCACCTTTGGCCATTGGAGAGGACGACGGCGAGGTGGGGGAGGACGATGGAGCAGTGGAGGTGGTAGCAACGGATGTGATAGCGGCAGCGGTGGCAGCAGCAACGGCAGCGGCGTCGCCGGTGGCGCGTTGGGAGGTCTTGGTTTGGCGTGGTGGCATGTGGAGAAGGGGGGGACAATTCCTATTTACAAGAGTAGAGCGTCATCAAGTGATTTAGCAATGAAGGTAGTAATGCAATTGATGTTTCTGCTGCAGCAATTGCAATGATAAATAGTCCAAATAAATTACCTATAATTGTAGAAGAATCAAAATATTTGCAACAAATTACTAAATTCAAATTAACTGCATTAAATATTAACTCAAAAAACAATTGATTACGAAGAAATGCGTAATTTTAAAATTTGTTAAAAAGAATTAATTACAAATGATTTTGAATTGGAAATGTTGAAAAGAAATGTCGAAAAAAAGTTCAATTAATTCTAAAATATTTTCGAATAACAACATTTCGAGAAAAAAAAAAATTAAATTTGTTTTCAAATTTCGGGGAAGAAATGTCGAGAAAGAAATGATTAACCCTACGTATTTTTAAAAATTTTAAAAAAGAAAATACGTTTGAGATTGAAATATCGAGAAAAATAGTTAATTGAGTATTTTCGAATTTACAAAAAAACAAAATCAAAATGGGTTCTAGAAATAAATAAAATGAATTTTGATGTAAATCGAGGGCGGAGCAATCCTATCTACAATTGATTGGGTGGTAGCGTGGTAGGTAGGGCACGGGTAGATTAATGATGATGATGATGATGATGATGGTAGGGGGGGGGAACATGGGGGGAAAGTCGCACAGGGGGGGCAAAGTCGCGCAGGGGGGGAAATGTATCCGGGTGGATCGTGCGAAGGTGGGGGAAGCGGGATCGGGATTGGGGGGAGGGGGAGGTCCTGATTGGGGCGCGGAGAGTCGGGGTCGCGCATGGG